GCAACCGACTGATTAAGTGAAATATATCTTTTTTACTCTTTACTTTGTAATGATTTCTAAAAAAATAAAAATAAAAATACAATGAATGTTGAATAGTATATGTCTGTCTAAGTGAAATGTTTGAGCATTTTGAGATAGTCCATTATCTTATTTATTACTGAATAATACATTTATAGTCAATAGTATGGATAGATGCTTGTAGGAGAATTCTCTTGATAGATTATGCTGCTCTCTGGAGCCTACACATAGTGGGGACTATATATTAAGACATTCTGCGAAGTGACAGGTAAATTCCATCATTATTTTTGTCATAATAAATTTCACAGTTTTCTTCAGATATATCCATTTCAGAAGACCACCACATTTAGAGTGCTAGAAAAAAGAGAAGTGAAACAGAATAATTAGAAGTGAAACACAATAAAAGTCGTGGAATGTCTAATATATTCAGAGTGTCTGAAAAAAATAATGTATATTTAAAAAATGATGGCTAGTGTACAAAAGAAGCAACGGGTATAAAAAACAAACAAACAAACAAACAGATTTAAAAAAACAGCACCAAATATTCACTGGATATTAGATGTAAAAATGTTCACAACACTTTGATATGTCCCTAGTTTGTTCTAAAATGAGAGCGAATTCAATTGCTTTTAAATCTGTTCAAAAAATAAATTCTAATTTGAGCAAGGTTAACAAAGAAAATAAAATAGGTCAGTTAACGCTCAGTTTTAAAATCATACATTTAACTTACTACAGCAACAACATTCATCCTATTAAAACATTCATCCTACAGCAATGATATTATCCTATTTCTACAGTTTACAGACTTGAATCAAAAGGGTAGAAGAGATGTGACATGCCCCATAAAGAGTAAAAATTCATTTAAAATAAATGCAAATCTTTGAAGGTTGCATTTGCTGCAAATTTTCATCTTCTGCAGGAAATAGAGATTGGCTAAGATTTATTAGCACTACTGGGCCTCTTGTTTTATCTTGGATTGATGTGGATATCCCATATATCTATGTTTTAAATCCATGTATAGATTTAACCTACCTGATGTAATTGAAACTAAGCTAGGTAGGTTAGTTTTTTTCCCACTCACTTTGGTGAAGGTACATTAAACTGAGCAGCTCCTGAGATAATCAGTTACCATTTAGTTAAAGTAATCATATTTTTCTTTTGTGAATCATTTTTTTAAATTGAGGATGAAAGTAACACAAAACATCAATTAAACAATGTTGAGAAAAAAACAAGTCTATCTTCTTCCGATTTTTCAAAGCATTATTTTCAAATAGAACATAGTGAAAAATATGCATAAAAATGTAAAGTAAAATAATCCAATTGAACATTTCACAAAGGATAAACTGATATTGTAAAAAGCTCTTTTCAAGCTCCCGGTGTTGGGACCATTGTGTTTTTCAGTTGTGATAATTCAAGGTATTCATTTTGTAAATTAGTCGTAAATGTATTCAAGAAAGGAAGTTGGTAGAGGAGAGAAGAAAAAGAAAAAAAAACAATTGGGGGTGTTATAAGAAGAAAAGGGAAAACATATGGGAGCCATTGGAAGATAAGACAGGTTACCTCCAGGAAAGCACAGCAAATAGTCAGCTGCGCCATTTTCTTTCCAAAGATTATATACATCATATATTTCCAGTAACCAATTACACCTGCAACTTAGGTAAATATGTCAAGATAGGCCTTTAAATCCAATGAGTCCAGATTGCTAAATTAGATTATTTTGCCTTTACAATTAAGGTTACACCATCTTCAGTTTACCCAACCCCTTGGATCAGCATAGGCCAAGGATTGAGGAACTTCCAGATCAACAATGGTTATTGTCACAAGGTGTAGAAGACTCTACTCCTAACTGACCTCAGCTCAAGTATAATATTTACTGTTCAACCGTTAGTATATATTGTGTTTTTTGATGAGTTGAATCGGTAAATGTACAACATGTCAGGTGCAGAGGTCAAACTGGTAAGGTAAGCAAAGAAAGGATTCATATGTACATAGCAGAATGAAAGAGGGAAGTGTGAATCAGGGCTAGTCTAGAGTATAGGGTGCATTAGACAAAAACACTCAGGCAGACACATAGTAAATCTACCTTAATTTCTATTTTTTTTCTCTGTCTGCTGTCTTAGAGTTCAAAACAATCAATCAGGTTTCCTCTCTTCTGACTGGTTCTTCAAGCCAGATTCCACCCAATCAAATTTCAAAACGTTTCTGCTGTCAAACCCTATTGCCCCTTACTTTTAGGTTAAAACAAAATTAGCAGAACATTTGAAGCAAGGAATACCATATTGTGCTTATGTTGCTTCACAGAAAAACTTACAAATTAAAAAAATATGTAAATTTACACAAATGTTATTTTTCACTTATTTGTTCGCCCACTATACAAATATTTGGGAAATTTAAATCTTTAGACAGTATACAGTGTACAGTGTCCTTTATTTCACCACATTTTGCACGGGGTGTGAGATGTTAGTATAAAAGCAAATATTCATTTTTTTTCTCATATTTGGAAAATGTGACAAAAATAGATAAGTATTTATTTAAAACTGCTATAGCAATCTTTATTACTCTCCATACTACTAATATGGTGCTAACAGTAAAATGATAGAGTCCACTTTCTCATACCCACTCACTAACAGAATAAATTATATGACCCATTGAAACTTCTTGTTCTGGTTAAAAGCAGAAGGAGAGCTTACATTGTTATCAAACTTACTGTTTTTATATTAGTGACTACTGGATTCTGGTAAAGAAGTATTTATTCTACAGACCAGTATGCATAACTAGAGTATAAATGAGGGTGAGTGAGGCTTTCATACTGTGAAATGCATAAAAAAATTAAAACATTTATTTTTGGGTTTTGGTAGTGAAGGGCTTAAGGGAATGCTAGAGTGCTCCATCTTCAGTGTTGCTGCAGCTGCTAGAGTCTGTTTTAAGTTGTGGTGTTCTTTTTTCACATAAAGATTTTTTAAATATGTCTATAATTAAAGGCACAAGTTAATGAATATGAGGGCATCTTTTGACGCCTCGTGTCAGTATTTATTTTTCTTGCAATTGTTATGAGTAATCAAATGGTGTACTCTTTTGGTTAAAGATGGATAAACAACTTGAGAGTTGCAGTTCTATTAAGGCTAGGGATATTATTAATCCATTATTAATTTAATGACCCTGAAGAAGTCCAGAGGACAAAACACGTTGGATTCAGACTGCTCATCACTTTTTCATTTGTTTTTATTGTTTATGTTTTCTTTTGGCTTTTCTTTTGGGATACTCTCCTTCATCCAGCTCAGTATTCTTGCTTTCATCCACTGAAAGTGGAGATATGCCCATATTACTGATTATCTTGTATATGTCATTTTAAAGGGACACTCCTGGCACCCAGACCACTTCTGCCCATTGGAGTGGTCTGGGTGCCAACTCCCACTACCCTTAACCCTGCAACTGTAAATATTGCAGTTTTTATAAACTGCAATATTTACCTTGCTGGGTTAACTCCTCCTCTAGTGGCTGTCTACTAGACAGCCACTAGAGGGCACTTCCGGGTTTATAGTACAGATTTTCTGTGCTATAGCGTCACGCTATGTGAGGACCTCCAGCGTCACTAAATTTCCCATAGTAAAGCATTGAAAGCATTTTCAATGCTTTCCTATGGGGAGGTCTAATGCGCTTGCACATTAGGTCTCCCCCGTTGCTGGCTGCGCATGCGCAATAGGTCTCCACTGCCAGATGACGTCGGTGGGGGAGGAGCGTGGGCGGACCCTGAACCAGCGCTGCGGAACATCAGCGGTGGATACAGGTAAGTCACTGAAGGGGTTTTAACCCCTTCAGCAACCTGGGATGGGGGGTGGGAGGGAGAGGGGACCTGCAGTGCCAGGAAAACAGTTTGTTTTCCTGGCACTGGATAGTCTCTTTAATAATAAATTATTTTGTACATTCTATCTGCACTATATTTCTCTTATGTTTATTCCATGCCTATGAAGACCTAAACTCAAGATTGAAGCACCTGTATTAGGGGTGATAAGCTGAAACATTGCCTGGCTATAGTGAGTTTTCTCCCCCTCAACTTGCGTGTCTTTTACCTTAATATTACGTATTACACTATGTACAGTTTATCTTTTTAGGCAATCCAGATTGCCTCTATTATTGAAGGTTGTATTCCATTTTATAGCTTCTCACTACATAAGGTGTCACTTTGTTGAAATCCTACACCTTGTATGTTTTATATTATTAATTTGGGTTTTAAAGACCCCACATACATATGGGGAGGGAGGAGAGGAATTTATGGCAATCATACCTGGTGGGAGATGATTTAGTAAGCGTTTACCTGGGAACCTAAATACAAATAACAATAGTGGCTGTGTTTCTTGTATAATATTAATTATGAAAAATAGAAGAAAAAAATAATATCAAATTGCTGCTACCTAGTATAGGTGTGAGGGCTTTAAAAAGACGTCAAAATAGAAATGATCTGGGTGCACTTGTTTTGGAAATAAATATGTCATTTATTAATGATAGCTGTAAAAATCAACAATAAAAGTCAATATAAATCAACATCAAACAAAACCCTTTGCTTCTAAACCACGTAAGTGTCAAGTAAAATAGTGCGCAGTTTGTCTGGTGCGCTTCGTCCAGACATGGACTTTCTAAACCCCTTAAGGACAGGGCCAGCCTTAGGGGCGTGTGAGTTGTGCAGCCGCACAGGGCGCCATGGAGCAGGGGGTGCCGTGCGGCCGACACAGCTCACACATGGCCGGACGGCCCGCATCTAAAAAAGAAAATTTGCGGCGGGGCGGAGCTTCCCGTGCGGCGGGGGCAGAGCTAAAGGTGCCGGATAACTGCTGCAGGGGAAGCAGGAAGGAGTCCCTGCTTCCCCAACAAACAGTCTCCTGGAGCTGCACTGCCTCCACAATGAACAGAGGTAACTATGTGTGATTGTCAGTGTGAGTGTGTCTGCCTGTGTGTGTATGACTATCTGCCTGTGTGTGTGTGTC